ATAAACACTTGAAAAATGTAGGTATAAAACATTAATATAACATTTATGTACAATTATTCAAATGGCCTTTTAAGGGCGCCTGGGTGGCTCAGTCGGTTAAGCGTCTACCTTCAGCTCAGGTCATGATCTTGGGGTCCTGGGATCCAGCCCCACTTCAGGCTCCAGGCTCCCTGCCCAGCAGGAGTCTGCTTCTCCCTCTGACCACCTCCTCCACCGCTCCTGCTCACTCTCTTGCGTTCTAATAAATAAATAAAATCTTTAAAAAGTTCAAATGGCCTTTTAATTTAGCTTCCATCTAAAAGATTAGTTTAAAAAATAAAATTAAAAAGATAAGTAGTTTAAAATAAGTCACTCCAAACTATATGTTCACATTTCATTGTAGAAGATTCATGTTAATTATAAATTGTTTGCTCAGTCAAAAAGTATTTCTGCTGGGGCGCCTGGGTGGCTCAGTCGTTAAGCGTCTGCCTTCGGCTCAGGTCATGATTCCAGGTCCTGGGATCGAGCCCTGCATCGGGCTTCCTGCTCGGCAGGAAGCCTGCTTCTCCCTCTCCCACTTCCACTGCTTGTATTCCCTCTCTTGCTGTGTCTCTCTCTGTCAAATAAATAAATAAAATCTTTAAAAAAAAAAAAAAAGTATTTCTGCTAAAAGAGGAGAATCAGAATTCTAGAACTAGAAAAGATTCTTGAGATCATACACCCCACTAATTCCAATGTGGATCCATAAACAATGGCAAATGAAAAAAAAGGAAAATGAAAAGTAATTTTTCATAGAGCTAATCTATTTAAAGTTAAGGCATATGCTTTATTCTGAGAATGCATCTGCACCTTGAGACTTTCTCTTTTTAATACTAATTTCATCCATTCAACAAATACTTGTTGAGCCAGTAACTCTCAGGTACAAGACAATAGTGAACAAGAGAAGCAGCAAGGCTCTTACCCTCAAAAAACTACCTCCTCTCTAGTGGAAAATAAGAATACAAATAATAAGAAAAGATGATAGGGTTTTGTTAAGTCCTTAACATTTAAAACAAAAACCTGATCAGTCTACGTTAACCCCAGGTCAGGAGGAAACATTAATCTACAGCTCCTTCCCGTTTTATTTTTTTTTTAAAGATTTTATTTATTTAAGAGAAAGAGAGAGAGTGCACAAGCAGGGGAAACAGCAGGCAGAGGGAGAAGCAGGCTCCCCCACGACCCAGGGCTCAATCCCAGGACTACGGGATCATGACCTGAGCCTAAGGCAGATGCTTAACTGACTGAGCCACCCAGGTACCCCAACTTCCCATGTTATGAGAAACTGGATGTCCAAAAGGTTTCACAACAATTCAATAAATCCCAAGTCAGAACCACCTTGTTTCTAATTAAAACGCCAAGAAAATATCCATGTGCCTTAGAGATTCAAACATGATAAATTTACAGACTCCAAATATGTCAAAAGACTAGTATTTTTCCACTTAATGTGTCCTTCCAGTTCTAACAGGATTTGATTCTATATACCAAACTTGTTCTATCATTTGAGAACTTAAAAATTTAATGAAAAACTTAAAATCCCTAGGGCAGAATTTATCAAATCTCATGCCAGCAAAAGAAATTCTACTTTCTGATAAATGATAAAGCAAGTCCAACATTTAGAACAAGGGGAAAGGACGGACACAAAAATAGTACCCACAGTAGTATCGTCTTGGTCACTGTTTCTGTGACCTAGAAAGTACAGTAATTCTCTGGAGCACTGCTATCCCATGCACTAGAAGTTTCAGACAGTTTAAATATACAAAAGAACTGATAAACAGTGATAATCAGCTAATTAACATTTCAAAGAATCATGATACAAAACCCGAAGTTCCAGTGAATAATCTAGGTTTGACAATAATTGACCTGACAGTAGTTCAGTCTCTTCCCTCACCTCCTACCTTTCTCTACTTCTGTACAAGGGTGGGATATTAAGCACAAAGTATGTGCCAGATACCACATCCTAATATGTGCCAGACAAGTCCATAGACTTGATCTCGTGGGTTAAACAGGTTTTTCCCCACTTAAAAAATAAACCCACATATAATACAAATGTGGAGAAACAAACTTGAAGGTATAATTATCCCCTTTCGTAGGTAAAGGAAACTGAGCCAAAAAGTTAAAGTAGAAAAAACAAGATTTGCACTTAACTGCAAAGTTTGCAGGAGTCTCAATTTCTTTCTCTGAGTCTGTCACAAACACCAACATGCAAGTGACTGGATAGGAGAGGGTAGAGGAGGCAGGAGGAACACAAAAATGTACAAAAAAAATAGAAATTTTTCCCTAAGATATCAGAAGAATTAGATATGAAAGCGACACCCAAAGAGCTCTAAATGCCTATGACTGGGACAAAGGGTTAGAGGTTCAAAGGACAAATGGAACTTTTTCCTGCAGTGAGCAAGGAAGAATTCACTGAGGAGGGAGGAAATCAATGAGTTACACCATAGAGAAAAGAAGTATTTTTAGGCAGAAGAGACTTCAGAGAATAAAGGTGGGGAAAAGAAGGTAGACACAGGGCCTGTATGTTTGAAAAGGTAAAAACATCAACCTGGCTGAAGCACAGAAATTGTATGAGGGCAGTTAAACGTAAGGCTGAAAAGGCAGGATTGGGTTAGACTTCAGAGGACCTGATGAAACAAACTCCCTATTTACAGCACCAAGATAGAATTAAACTTTTACATATTTATTATCTTCATGAAAAAAAGATTGCACATGCCCTATTAACCTGACTGTATTTATGCTTTTCAGCTAGGGAAAAAAAAAAGTCTAGGACAACACCTGATACAAAGATGATTAAATGTTGGATCTGAATTCAAGTAACTGATTTTTCCTATCTCCTGATAACCACAGATTTATGTACAAAGAGGG